TAAGCGTTATTTTAAGTAGAACCTCCGCAGTTTCTATTGTTATAGCCCGAGGACGTGTGAGCATCAATAAACGGCCAGATGACTGTTGTACAAATTCAAAAAAAATTTTCCGCCTTTTTCGGCAAACCTTGACGTCCGATACCTCAGCGCTATCGAAAAGCCGGGAGGAAAATAATTAAACGTCCTTCAAATGACAGAAAAAAACAAGTAGGGCGAGGGAAATTTATCGGACATCGTACATACCAAAAGATAAACAGTAAAAGTCAAAGCACAATTGCCTTTCAAATTGTTAAATCAACAATTTTGCCGCAAATTATCGACCCGTAGGCGTAACAGCCAGTTTAAATGGAAGAGTTATCGATGGAAAGGCGGTGCAAAACTGAAAGTAAGCACATCAGCGAAAGTCCCATATGTCTGGCGGTCGTGAGCACCTCTTTGAGGAAAGTAATGCTTCAGAAATACGATTTCTGCTTGTCTCTATAGAAGAAGGAGGAAATATTGACAAGAGGAGAAATTTTTTAAAAAACCATTAACCTACTCAAGGAAGTTGGAACGATTGTCTCGTAGCATAACCTACCATAGAACAATACAAAAACTAGCATTTCAACTCGATTTGATTTCCTAAAGAAATGTTTAAATTAGAAAAAAATATATGTTCAGTTTCGACTCATCCCAATAAAAAGCCCAGGAAAAATAGGAAACTATGAAAACAGGTACATCTGGTCTAGACGAAACATTTTTATCTGGACTATTTATCATTATATTGTCTAAAATTTTCCTAATTACTCTGAGAGATTGAATACGTTTTACCTTACGCTGCGTTCCCATTTAGACGGTTGTGTAATTAGGCTGGGAAAAATGTCTTTATAGACTTTTCTCCTTTAAAATATATCTGTGTGGTTGTCTGTTATACTGCCAACCTATCTTGCGCTGAAGATTTGGTACGACATCGAATCAAATTTGATCGAAGATGATCACATTTTTTTGGAGCCGCTCAAAACAAAATTTTTCATACAGCCTTCAATAGTTTTATTGACGTTGTAATTCCGAGAAAATTACGCTCGAGATAATTCTTTTAAGAGAGGGCAGAGTAAACACAAATATTATTGCCCTTATCAAAGTAAGCTTAGAATTGTTTAATTTCATAGACGTCAGGAACAATAATCAGACGTGGGCTTTAGGTGAAAGTAGATTTTTCGACGCCTCCCCTGATGATCCTATTTTAAAATAATCCGTGGCCAATCATTATCACGAATTAAAAGTCGATTAAACGAAAGAAACACGGTTAACGGTTAGAAATAATTGACTAAATATTCGAATTAACGTTAACACTTTGCAAATAACAAACATCCCCTCTACTTTGGATTAAATTAAAAAAATGGAAATTTGTTATTTGTTCGGTGATAAACTCACACATCGAAATCTTGCAAAAGGCTTAACGATTCCTGAAGCCTTTCAAGAGCTAATCCGACGTGCACGTGACATTGCAAACCCAATGAGTAATTTACGACTAGGAAACTGAATTTAAACTGGTAAACATTCCAAAGAAAAAAAAAATAAATTTTCTCTCAGGTTAAATTTTGTAGGGAAAAAACTCATTAGAAACAAATTATTTTGTAAATGATCGAATTTGATTTGTTATTGATAAAATTCTCCCTTAAAAGCCAAACCACGTAGGTTTAGATATGTGCTGGAAAATGTCAAAGATCAGTTTCGTACGGATCTTCTAATCACTTATCAAGGGGCAAAGTACGATTCGATTCGAAGTATCAGATAAATTATGCTGAATAGTAAAGTTTATGCGTGAAATAAAACGTCTTATTAAGCTCAAATCTTTCAAAAGCATAAAAGGAAAAAATATTTACCTAAGATGTTTCCCTGGATAAAAGAAACAAATCTTGCATATTCGAGAAGGAAGAATGAAATTATCACAAAAATTTACCTGCTGTTTCTATAGATATTTAACTGTTGATTTTTTTTCTTTTTTTTTTAAGGAAAACATTATACGTGATTTTTATCAAGCTTCATCTTCGAAATAATTAAGTGTACAAGAAAATATATGCTATGGAATCAATAGTGATATTTTTTCTTTTTAGGTATATTCACTATATGCCTAAACTAATTACTTACAATTTGTACGTTTTTTTGTTTCTATTTACTATATATGTCAAATATCTAGATTTGTAACTTGCTTTATGTCAAAGAAATTGACATTTGAGAACTTTAAGCAATGAAAAAAATTTCCATGGTGGTTCTATTGAGATTTATTTCTTTTTAATAAGGAAAACATTTTACATGAATTTTATCAAGCTTCATCTTCGAAATATTTACGTGTACAAGAAAATATCCTATGGAATCAATAGTGATATTTTTTCTTTTTAGGTATATTCACTATCTGCCTATACTAATTACTTACAATTTGTACGTTTTTTTGTTTCAATTTACTATATATGCCAAATATCTAGATTTGTAACTTGTTTTATGTCAAAGAAATTGACATTTGAGAACTTTAAGCAATGAAAAAATTTCCATGGTGATTCTATTGAGATTTGAATAAGGAAAACATCGTACATAATTTTCATCTTACTTTTTTGAAATATTTAAGCGCATAAGAAAGTATATGCGTTGGCATCAATAATGGGATTTTATGTTCTATACGAACTGATTACTTACTTGTAAGTTTAAAAAAAAATTTAATGTAGATATCAAATCTGTCAATTTTTTGAAAGGAACTCGACATTTTTAGGTCGTGAAAACATTTACTATTGAGACTTATGTTTTTTTAATAAGGAAAACGTTTGCCATGATTTTTTATCTAGTTTTATCTTTGAAATAAATGCAAGGAAAATGCGTTTGAATCGAAGATTTTTTGAGGTATTTTCAGTACCCGACTGGACTGATTATTTATGACTTTAGGCCAGAAAACAACTATTTGTGGATTTGCCAATTTTTTAATGGGAAACTAAGAAACTTGACATCTTTAGGTAATAAAAACATTTGACGTGATTTTTATCTAGCTTTATCTTATAAGAAAATATATGTGAGGTAATTTTTGTTCCGAAAATTTTTTGTCCTTTTTAGGTGTCAGTATCTGACCGAACATATAACTTACGACTTGTAGGTTTTTTTAAATTTACTGTAGATCTCAAATATCACTAGATATGTCCGTTTTTTTATAGTGAAGAAAGGGACTTGAAATCTTTAGGTCAAAAAATATACACGGTGTTTTTCATGAGATTTTTTTTTTATAAGGAAAACATTTGACATGATTTTTTATTTAGCTGTAAATTCGAAATAAGTGCACTATAAAATATAAGCGATGGAATAAATAGTGTTTTTCTTGTTCTTTTAAGGTTCAGTATCTTACTGGACTGATTACTTACGACTTGTAGGTTTTTGTAAAAATTTTCTATAGATCTCAAATATCTTTACATTTGTAAATTTTTGGGAAGCAACGAACGTGACATCTTTAGGCAATTAAAAACATTCTAGATGATTTTTATCTAGATTTATCTTTGAAATGTAAAAATATACAAGAAAATATATGGGATTGAATCAATAGTGGGATTTTTCTTTTTTTAGGTATGTTCAGTATCGGACTGTAGTGATTACTTGATACTGTGTTGACGAATTATTTAAAAAAATATATATATTGGGTTGTCCGGAAAATAATGCAGGATTTTGGTATTAAACAAAAAAAAAGAAACTAGTTACTTTAAAGCAATGTTCTTTAATCAAAATAATTTCCCANGAGTAATCCTGTAAACGTAAACAGAATATTTTATATAGATTTTTTTTAATGAAAACTTAAAATCCTGCATTATTTTCCGGACAACCCAATAGATCTCAATATCAGTAGATTTGTTGTTTTATAGTCAGGAAAGAAACTTGACATATCTAGGTCATAAAAAAATTACGTGGTGTTCCTATTCAGATTTAGATCTTTTTTTTTTAAACAAGAAAAACATATTCCATGATTTTTATCTAGCTTTGCCATGGAAATATTTAAGTGCACAAGAAAATAAATGCGATGAAATTTTTATTCCGAAGATTTTTTGTCCTTTTTAGGTATGGTCAGAATCTGACTAACTTACGATTTGTAGGTTTTTTAAAATTAGTATAGATCGCAAATATCAGTAGATATGTCAATTATTTTATGGTGAAGAAAAGGAATTTCGAGATCTTTAAACAATGATAAAATTTACATGGTGTTTCTAAGAAAGAAGGAAAAAATTTAACTACATTTTTATGTAGCTTTACCTTGGAAATATCCAAGTCAAGAAAATATATACGATGGTGTCAATAATGGGAATTTTTGTTCTTTTTAGTTATGATTACTTACAACTTGTAGATTTTTTTAAACTTAGTATAGATCTCAAATAGTAGTAGATATGTCAGATGTTTTATGGTGAAGATCTTTAGGCAATGAAAAAATTTACATGGAGTGAGATTTAATTTTTTTTAATAAGGAAGACATTCGACATGATTTTTTATCTAGCTTTTTCTTCGAAATAAGTGCATGAGGAAAATATAAGCTATGGAATAAATAGTTTTTTTTGTTCTTTTTAGGTATGGTCAGTATCTGACTGAACTGACTACGTACATCAACTTGTAGGTTTTTAAAAATTTAGTATACATCTCAAATATAAGTAGATTTGTCAATTGTTTTATTATGACGAAGAAAGGCATTTGACATCATTAAGTCATACAGATAAAATGAGTTTAAAACGGAATCGTTATCAGTGGTGTCTATAAAAGGTCTTTCTCCTTAAAACCGAGAGTCAGTCAAAATTTTACTGTTCGATTTCGACGAATTGGTAATAGGGAGATTTCGAGGCTCGAGATAAGGATAAGATAACGTCCGTGACCTAGGAGGAGGAGTCGCCCTGGCGGGAGGCGGGTGCCGAAGGGTTGATCGATAAGGTTTGGGGGCGGTTCGCCGTATAGGGACGCTTGCGCCCTACAAAGGGATGCTGAACGTGAAAATACGATTGGCTCACCGTTGATGAACATGTGGTGCTGCCTCCAGAGTTGCTGGTATTGGCTCCAACGGGCCGACGTGTCCGGTGCAAGGGGGTGAAGCTGGTGAAACTGATGGTGGTGGTGATTCTGCTGGGGTTGGGCCACTGCCGCAGGCACGGTACCGCTATGTGGTTGGTAGTCCATCACTAGACACTTAGCCTCGTACATGATGGATCCCCTTTACACACACACCTTCTCTCCTCTACCCAGCCAAGCACTGGCAAATGGTAACTGGACGTCTTTCCCTTCCCGTTGAACGGCGAGGCCCCCACCAGAGACCCCCTCCAGTCCGCGGAGCCGATAGGAATCCTTATCTTTTCACCAATTACGGCCGGTTCATTATCAAATGTGTAACCGGCTCTTTCGACCGTCATTTACCACTTTCTTTGATAAGCAATGATCTTATTTACGCCTTTCTGTCCAGAACATTTCTCCCTCCTCTTTCATATCTATTACAATCCGCTGTCATCGATTACGGTAGTCCTAGTCAAGGGCTCATCGAAACATTTTTTTCCTACGTTACAAAGTTTAATAAAATTAGACAAAAACATTGCTGGAGTGATTCAAAGTCAAATTGTCCTTACTTGACCTGTCACCTCAATTAATTAAGAAATAAACCCATTTATGTTTAGTGGTCTAATTCACCATATTAATTAGTTCCATTAATTATTCTTTTTATGCAAGGTCTTGGTTGAGATGAAAAAGGCTAGTGTGTTGAATGGGATTCGAACCCACGACTTTCGGCTAATGTCACCGCTGCTGTAAACACTTGTACTATGGCTTCGATCTACTTGGACACCGACTCCCCATCTCAACCAAATCTTACGTGAAAAGAAAAATTAATTGAAATAATTAAGATAGTCAATTAGACCGCTAAACATAAATGGATTAATGTAATAAGTAAAGAAGTAATCACTTCACTAACAGCTCGCCGTGGCCATTTTCATAAGTCGCTGAGAAACGAATCCTGATTACACGACATTTGAAAAAATGGAAAAAAGAGATAGTAAATTACGAAAAGTTGTAGGTTGTGATGTTGGTGTCCGAGTGGTTGGAAATCACGATAGCTCAAGTGGTTAGAGCAGCGGCGTATTAGCCGAAGTTCGTGGGTTCGAATCCCGCTCGTGACACTAGCTTTTTCATCTCAACCAAGACCTTATACAAAAGGAATAATTAATTAAACTAAGAAATAGATTTTGACGATCTTTCAGAATATTATAATTTTTTTAGTTTTAAAATTTATAAAATAAATCTATAAAACTATAGCACAAATACAAATTAATTTGCAATTCATTAATTTTAACTGTCGGCATTTGATGCTCATCGCCACATTTTAGAATATTCTCCCGTTGTAATAGACTTAACAGAATTTTCCTAACCAAGGAGCAACGGTGATGAGCTTTAAATGGGATTTTGTATAGTTCACTTTTTTAATTGTTAAGTTTAACCATTCACCCATCCATTCGTGCAGGAGTCTCCCAAGGTGGTGTTCTTAGACCAATGTTTTACGTAGACTATGTAAGGTTTGGTTCAGATGTGAAAGTTGGTGTCACGAGCGGGATTCGAACCCACGACCTTCGGCTAATACGCCGCTGCTCTAACCACTTGAGCTATCGTGATTTCGATCCACGAGGATACCAACTCACCATTTCAACCTACAACCTTTCGCATTTTACCTCTTTTGCCATCAGGAATCGATTTTCAGCGCCTTATGAAAATGGCCACGGCGGGCTGTTACTGAAGTGATTACTTCTTTACTTATTATATTAATCTTTTATGTAAGATCTTGTTTGAGAAGCAAACGTTAGTGTCACGAGGGGGTTTCGAACCCACGACCTTCGGCTAAATACGCCCCTGCTCCAACCGTGACTTCGATCACCCATGCCACAAACTTCTCATGCCGACTTCCCATTTTATTCAAATTGGAAGCAAATCCGGGCTTCATAATGAAGCACATATTAACGATCTTATGTAGACATCTCTGTATTGAGTACGGTCATACAAGGAATACGCTGACTGCATGAAGCACTCGAAAATCTCCAACATGTTCTGCATGTGGACCTTTTTGCACTGGGAATCACCTTCCCAGGTGTTGCCCAGCAAAGTTGGATCTGGTTAGGTATCTCACAGTAGGGATCCTAGGTAATAAAAATGTTCTCACAACTCAGATTTCTGTAGCGGACTTTCTAACATCAGACATTATGTCTTGAGAATCAAAACTTTGGTGTTGAACAGGCACTGGGTCCGTTTACACTCGCGACTTTTGATGTTATTCAAATTGACAAAAATAAAAAACAGCTTGACTAGTTAGATTAGAGTAGACTAAAAACGAGACAGAAAAAAACCGCTATCTAGACTAGATTATAATAGAGGATTCTTAATTCTCTTGTGTTTGTACATGTTCGAGTCATAGTTTCCTATTTTGGAACAGATTTCAGTCGTTCTAAAATCGCATTGCTTAAAACATAAAAGGTTGACCCGTGAAGACTTGTTCTGTGCGATTTGACGATATTAGTCCTACATGTCCTACTCCAAAATGGGTAGAAACATCTGTAATCAATTTGAACAGTAAAAGGCTCGTGACAAAGCAATGATCCCCAGCTTTTGTTCACTACATCATTAACATAGAGAGTAAAATTAAGTTGTCAGCCAACCAAAGATTTTTATGGACTTAAGTGCATTTTAGTACATATATGATTAATCATCCATTAATAAGGAAGTCCATCCCCGTAGAAAAATTACGAAGGTGCAATCCGTTTTTAAAGCTCATGGTATACCTCTTGGTATACTAGGAATCGAAAATACCATATATGTGGAAATCCATGGAGTGGCCACAGTCATCAAAGCAATCAGCAGACTGCATAAACCACTCTAAGGTAATCATTTTAACTCTGTGTACTTGAGTGTGCTAATAACGGAATCAGACAGGGTTGTACTGAGTCCAGTCCACACTCGCGGGTTTTGATGTTATTCAAACGTGTTTCCGCTTTACGCCATCTTCAGTGAGGAACTGTCTCGTTGTCCGTAGGGCCAATACCGACCATCAACTTTACTCAACTGTTGTTTGGATTCAGACCTTGATCTTGCCCATCCTGCTCACCAATGTTAAGCCTTTGGTTGGCAACTAGGTCATTTCTGCACCTATATGCATAACCTAAATACATATTCATACTCAATCTTTTCTATGAACTTACTACTAAACTAATATTGACCATACTCAAATAGGGCGAGGAAGTACTAATCTCACACTACAGATTCATGCAAATAAGTACATTCTCACAATACATGCACTTCAGATATAAGTGCCTGCTCCACACTCTCCATTTTGGAATCCTCTAATATAATCCTCGGCCATCAATTTTGAATTAGGCATCACCAGTTCAACAGTGCCTTCGCGTTGTGGACATCATCGCATCCTCCCTTGAGAAGAAAGTGCTCGGGAGTTTTTCTCTATGTCGACCAGGCTTTCGATCGAGTCTGGCGCTTCGTTTTGCTCTGAATATTCAACGGCATCCTGCCCTCTACATACTTCCTCCTCCCTAAGTCCTACTAGGCAGACTGGTACTTTAGATTCGGATCCTCACACTCTCCTATGTACAAGTTGGACTCGGAAGTCCCTTAGGGTTTCGTCCTCGAGAAGCTACTATACTCAGTATAATATATCCTTTATATCCGGCCCAGTCACACCTACATTACATTGAACAATGGTTCAAAAATGTCGAATCAAATTAAACACCACAAAGCCTCAAAACATAACCTATTCTCCATCCCATCACTTTACTTCCAATCTGTTATAACTTTATCACCTTTTTGGCCTAAAACAATCATCAGAGGTCTTCGTGAGAATAGCCTAGTCTCTAGTCTCAGTTTCTCTACATCATTTCTTGTGCCCTGGAAAATCTTAAAAGAGGTTACACTGGCAAAAAAAAATCCTTATAAGATCTGATAGCCAAGCAGCCATTAAAGCATTAGCATGTAAAAGAACTACATCAAAATTAGTCAGTGAATGCATCCAAAACCTCCAAAACCTGGGGAAACATAACAACCTGATATCTTGGGTGCCAGGGCACAGAGGAATTTTGGGTAACGAGAAAGCAGACAGACTGGCCAGAGGAGGATCTCCAAGACCATACAAAGGGCCCGAACCTATACTTGGGATAACAAAAACAAATATAGAATCATCCATCGCAGAATGGATCCAAACAAAACAATAGGAGAAGTGGAAAAACTCATAGACATAGTAAACTTATGATGAAACAACCCTCACCAAGACTGGCAACTGGAGAGGGCTAAACTCAGAGGAGTGATAGGACTACTAACCGGTCACTGGCATCTGAGCAAACATAGGCATGCACAACGAAGATCCCATCTGCAGATTATTTAATGAGGTCACCCATATCATCTTCGACTGCGAAGCAACAGCTCAACGGAGATTCAACCTAACATACGAAAAACTTAGGGAATGAAATTGTAGCAGCGACAGTCAATGACCTGATAATTCTAAGGAGAAGAATTGAGTCTATCGCACTGAACTAAGGAACTAGGAATGTATAATAAGCCAGAAGGCTGCAGTGTCTGGGGAGTACAAACCCTGCTACCTAGTATCCTTATCACCATACCATACCATAATACCAGGTTCTCTACAGGAGAGGCATCGAGTAGAAAGGCGACTATTGGCAAATCAGCATCTCGTTTGGAGTGTTAAACAATAAGGAGGTGTTCTTTTCCCATATGAGTGCCGGTTTGGTTTATGGCAAATGGATGACCAGTAATGTGAAGAAGGCGTGATGAAAACTTTGCTTCATATGCCATGCATGGTCTTTTTAAAGATAGTTATGGTATGGGGTGGAATCAATATCCATGCCCGTCCCGAATGATTGACTGCACTAAGGTCGAGAAAGTTTTTCTGGAAGCTGTGGTCCCATCCGCTCCATTTATTACGGACAACTTGGTGTTAATGCAAGGTACTGCTCGACCCCGTGTAGCTCCAGTTGTCACCTATTACTAGGAATATGTAATGATCACAATGAGCACTCATGGGACAGACGGGTTAGACATAGCCTCCTCCTACAACAACCGGTAACAACAACAGCTTCAAACCGCCCTTATTGAAGAATTATGTATCACAAGTTGATTTTTACTTTGTGCTTAGGTGTCTACGAAGGCGAAGCAACAGTTCAATGAAGATTTAACCTAACGTACGGAAAAAACTTAGGGAATGAAATTGTAGCAGCGACAGTCAATGACCTGATACTTCTAAGAAGAAGG